AAGACAGAAGCTAGTGCTACACGACAGTAGCTCAGGTAGGGGAATAGTGCTATATTACAGTACCTCAGATACGGAATAGTGCTACAGGAAAGTAGCTCAGATAGGGGAATATTGCTATATTACAGTACCTCAGATAGGGAATAGTGCTACAGGACAGTAGCTCAGATAGGGAATTGTGCTACAGGACAGTAGCTCAGGTAGGGAATATTGCTATATTACATTAACTCAGGTAGGGAATAGTGCTATATTACAGTACCTCAGATAGGGAATTGTGCTACAGGACAGTAGCTCAAGTAGGGAATATTGCTACATTACAGTACCTCAGATAGGGAATTGTGCTACAGGACAGTAGCTCAAGTAGGGAATATTGCTATATTACAGTACCTCAGATAGGGATTGTGCTACAGGACAGTAGCTCAGGTAGGGAATATTGCTATATTACAGTACCTCAGATAGGGAATAGTGCTATATTACAGTACCTCAGATAGGGAATAGTGCTACAGGACAGTAGCTCAGGTAGGGAATATTGCTATATTACAGTAGCTCAGATAGGGAATAGTGCTACAGGACAGTAGCTCAAGTAGGGAATATTGCTATATTACAGTACCTCAGATACGGAATAGTGCTACAGGAAAGTAGCTCAGATAGGGGAATATTGCTATATTACAGTACCTCAGATAGGGAATTGTGCTACAGGACAGTAGCTCAAGTAGGGAATATTGCTACATTAAAGTACCTCAGATAGGGAATTGTGCTACAGGACAGTAGCTCAAGTAGGGAATATTGCTATATTACAGTACCTCAGATAGGGAATTGTGCTACAGGACAGTAGCTCAGGTAGGGAATATTGCTATATTACAGTACCTCAGATAGGGAATAGTGCTATATTACAGTACCTCAGATAGGGAATTGTGCTACAGGACAGTAGCTCAAGTAGGGAATATTGCTATATTACATTAACTCAGGTAGGGAATAGTGCTATATTACAGTACCTCAGATAGGGAATTGTGCTACAGGACAGTAGCTCAGGTAGGGAATATTGCTATATTACAGTACCTCAGATAGGGAATTGTGCTACAGGACAGTAGCTCAAGTAGGGGAATAGTGCTATATTACAGTACCTCAGATAGGGAATAGTGCTACAGGACAGTAGCTCAGGTAGGGAATAGTGCTACATTACAGTACCTCAGATAGGGAATAGTGCTACAGGACAGTAGCTCAGGTAGGGGAATATTGCTATATTACAGTAGCTCAGATAGGGAATAGTGCTAAAGGAAAGTAGCTCAGGTAGGGAATAGTGCTATATTACAGTACCTCAGATAGGGAATAGTGCTACAGGACAGTAGCTCAAGTAGGGAATATTGCTATATTACAGTACCTCAGATAGGGAATAGTGCTAAAGGAAAGTAGCTCAGGTAGGGAATAGTGCTACATTACATTAGCTCAGGTAGGGAATAGTGCTACATTACATTAGCTCAGATTGGTAATAGTGCTACATTACAGTAGCTCAAATAGGTAATAGTGCTATATTACAGTAGCTCAGATAGGTAATAGTGCTACATTACAGTAGCTCAGATAGGTAATAGTGCTACATTACAGTAGCTCAGATAGGGGAATAGTGCTATATTACAGTACCTCAGATAGGGAATAGTGCTACAGGACAGTAGCTCAGGTAGGGAATATTGCTACATTACATTAGCTCAGATAGGTAATAGTGCTACATTACAGTAGCTCAGATAGGTAATAGTGCTACATTTCAGTACCTCAGATAGGTAATAGTGCTACATTACATTAGCTCAGATAGGTAATAGTGCTACATTACATTAGCTCAGATAGGTAATAGTGCTACATTACATTAGCTCAAATAGGTAATAGTGCTACATTACATTAGCTCAGATAGGTAATAGTGCTACATTACATTAGCTCAGATAGGTAATAGTGCTACATTACATAGGTAATAGTGCTAGCTCAGATAGGTAATAGTGCTACATTACAGATAGCTCAGATAGGTAATAGTGCTATACATTACATTAGGTAATAGCTACATACATTATAGGTAATAGTGCTACATTACAGTAGCTAGTGCTACATTTACAGATAGGTAGCTCAGATAGGTAATAGTGCTACATTACATTAGTCCAAATAGGTAATAGTGCTACATTACAGTAGCTCAGATAGGTAATAGTGCTACATTACAGGAGCTTAGTTAGGTAATAGTGCTACATTACAGTATCTCAGATAGGTAATAGTGCTACATTACAGTAGCTCAGATAGGTAATAGTGCTACATTACAGTAGCTCAGATAGGTAATAGTGCTACATTACAGTAGCTCAGATAGGTAATAGTGCTACATTACATTAGCTCAGATAGGTAATAGTGCTATATTAAAGTAGCTCAAATAGGTAATAGTGCTACATTACAGTAGCTCAGATAAGTAATAGTGCTACATTACAGTAGCTCAGATAGGGAATAGTGCTACATTTCAGTACCTCAGATAGGTAAGAGTGCTACATTGCAAACGTTCATTCACCTGATTAACTGTTATGAGGAACCTTGTGTTACTCATAATATAGAAGCTGACATGCATGCAATTCTCTCCCCTGATGTGTATCACTTCTAAATGCCACAACAAACCTCACCCTCATAAAGTGGGTGTTTTCAGATATTTTGTGCATGTATATGTGTTGTGTGTTCTAAACCGCCTGTATATATTCGTCTCTGTCCACAACAAACCTGGGGTTGATATCATGAATACCCCCCAAAACATTCGGTTCACGTTGACTCGTTTTGAACCACACCACTGGCCTGACCATAATTCATTTCTAAATTTGGGTTTGCAGTATATAATGCGTAAACCTCCGTATACAATCTATAAACAGAAAAGCGCCGACATGACAGAGCCGAGTAACAAAATCAATAATACTAACATTGCACTTCTGTGAGCTGTTCCTCACATCTCATTCAAGGTTGTTGTAAAATGCATCGCAGGTACTCAGCGAATTTAAAATATAAATGCAATATCGTACACAATAATATAAACGTGATGCTGCAATTCATGTTTCGTTACAATACCAAAGGTATGAACAAACAATGACTGGGTGTTGCTCTTTTACATATTTGATTCCATGGGTTCTATATATATATAACTCCATGGTGTTATGAATTGCCAATTGATTACCAATGTCTTTCAATGTAGTTATTACAAATTACATCATCGTCAAGGTCTCTAGTATGGATGGTTGCTACTATCACACAGAATAAATAGTTTTGTAAGTGTGACTTGATGAAAATTACAAAGCTAAATCAGCTTGGATCTTAAAGATGTCATTAATGGTTTAGGACATATATTTAATATTATAAAATATAACAGAAATGGTTATACTGTATCCGTGCGCAATATATTACATGACAATGGTTTATGCTACAACTACTATCTACCTTAATCACAGTGACTGGAGTCCTTTGTGCAATGAATAGGTGAATATGATGCAGTGATATTTGGAGTAACCCTTCACGTCTGTTTCAGCAGCCCCCTGCTAGTTGATGGTTGATGGGACATGTCTTTGTTGTGTTTCTTGCCGATCATATAATAAGCTCCATCATGAGACGTATTCTGTATTGTATTTAACAACTGGGGGTAGAAACTGGGGCCCGACGCTTCCTGAACATACCAAGGTATGCATAGTTGCGGTATTTGAGGTACGTTGATTTAGAAAGGTTTCTGCTGATGTGAAAAAAGATAACATAGTTAATTCAGAAGGAACATTATTTCATTTCCACATGAATTCACATAGCACTTATAGAGTTATTTGTTTTAAGTATTTTTTAAATGTGTATGGCTCGAGAGGTCAGATAGTCAAGAAGCAGTCGAAACCATGTACGTCTCCAAAAGGGAGATTTATAAACAGTATAATGTTGATATTTGTATATTTATTCTGAGAATGTCACCAAACAACGATGGACAAGTAACTGAAGTGAATGAAGTTTACAGTTCAAGGCACAATTAACAAATCTATTACAACTGATGCAAAGAAACCATCAATACATTTCTTAGATGATCAAATTGCACACATGTAACGATATGTGAGTTTATGTACTTTAATATGCATATTTATTTTAATAAAAATGCTTTCAGACTTTTTAAACTGGGATGATGCAGTTGATAGTAAGGTACGTGGCACTGTAAACACGTAGTACTGTAAACACGAAAGGATAGGTGTTATGTATATGATGTGAATAATGTATGCAATTATGAAAAATTAACTGTCAACATATGACAGTAATTTATATATTTATTAATTTATTTACTTATTTTTTCAACATTTCTTTTCGATTGTAAGTTTTAAAATTCAAACAGGGAAATGTTTTTCATGATATATTGGTATATGTAGTTCAATTCATATGAATTTTGAAAATGAAACTCAAATAAATGATTCATGTTCCTTTATTTTTTCTTGAAATGAGTGACCTGCTGCATATTCTACACTGACAACGTGTAGCTGATGATGACATATGTGTCTTCGATTTCTCTACAACACAAAAAACTAACATATACAGTTGATTCCAAAAATATTTGTCTCTAATTCAGGCAATGTATATTAATAAAAATGGATAAATGTACATTGATATTTTAAATTAAATTTATTTAAAATTGATTTATAATGTCAACTATGACTATGAAACAGTTGAAATACATCCTTATTCAAATAGCTGATCTTTGCATTCATTGAATATATAGCAAGAAATAGACAAGTGTTGAATTTAAGTATGTCTCATCATCTTTCACAATCAAATGATTCTTCATTCTGATATGACGTCATCCAACTCTTCCTCGTGACGTCAACAATATGTCATCATGATGTTGCATCGCCGCAAGCACTGATGTCCATACACAGTTCTTGGTTGAATCAGTACAAGAATTGCGTTTGGACAATCATAGCCTAACGACCGGTATCTCAAGAGAACGATATTCGTTGGAGGACCCCTCACATGCTAAAACGCATATACAGGTACATCCAACTATTTGTTCCTCTCCTGAAATGTAACATTGTCCTGAATGAAATAAAACACAAATTCTCTGCATTTACCTTCTGAATAAAATGAATAATAGAACGTATTCTTATTTCTCACCTTTTCATTTACTGTTCACGAGGACACAAATAGAAGCAACAAGAAAGCTCAAGTCTACTATAAGATATGCTTTGTTTTTTCACATTGTAAAGCTTTCTATGCATTTGAATATGATTTCACAAGTATATTTTTACAACAGTCCTACTATCAAGGCTGATTACATTCATAAATTCCCCTGCAGCATTTTATACCTTTTGGGGTCTAAAGAATATCTACTCATAAATACCTACACATTCAAGGTGTCATAGATTATGTTGTTATGCAATGACTCACTGTCGTACTCCCTTGGGCTTCAGCGTGGCGCATCCAAGGACCAGACACAGGGTAATTTATTATGTCACTTAACCCGTAAGGCATCCTATGGCGAGGCCTACGTTAACAGTGTAAATAACCCTTTCTATCTCAACGGTCATAATGGTTTTGAAGGAGTCATGTTTCATTAAGAGGTCAGTGAGTATACGGTATCATTTAAAAAGACACAACCTTCTGGACCTCTAATATAGCAACACATCTGTTATTACACACATGTAAATGAATATTATGTGAAAGATGATTTTGACTTGACACTTGTTGGTTTATGGGAACATTTCAATTCCTGGTCAATGTTTGTTATTCATGCTCAGAACATATATGAACATCACGAGGTATATATTGATCACGTTATGTGTATACCATATTCATATATTACACTTCGGTGGTCTAAATATAGATAAAACAATTAGCGTGTATTTTGTAAGTCCAGAATTTATCAGCAGCTGGTACACATTAATTTATTTATCAAATACATATTTCCATTAGTGTCTATAATATGTGAAAAAATATCACTTTTTAAAAAGATTGTGTAAAGATTTGTTTGTTTTTAGACATGTTTCATTTTTGGTGTTATGCATATTTTTGTCTTAAAGTTTCATTTTGTTTAAGCTACTACATGCAATTTAAAAATTAACAATTCTCTTTAAATGAAAAAACCCCAATGAAACATGAATAATATGATCAAATATCATATATCGACACTGACAAACATGTTGAAAATGCAATATTGTTTCCATTTGTGTCTCACAGTAACTAATTTATTTTGAAAATTACAACCTACTATTCTGTACTGACCTTTGACTCACACAATGATACCCACCACGCGTCCATTGTTGCTTGAATGACATATACTCCTCCATGATAAATGTACCCGAATTGGATCCGACCCCCTGCAGCAAAGGGGCGTGGGTCTAATACATGTTCCATCGACCAAGCGCCACCAACAACCCGGATATCGTCATGCCTCGATGACTGTCAGACACACACGTGGTTCGCCTGGGGGTAGAGACACATCAGAGTCGGGTCCAGTAGTCCGTATCTCTGAAAACATGTAAACATTTATACGCATCACAATGCAGTAGAACAAAGGCCCTTCAGACACTGGGTTATGCAGGTTTCAGCTTGTGGATTTATGATGCCCTGTGCAGGATATCCACACATACAGGAAAACACGTGTGTACAAGGATTTATGTGTCTCGTAATTTCAATATTTCTGGTTAGGATCCTGGTTAGATCATATTATAGTATATGATCTTCGTTGATATATATTATACTGACAAAATTCGTGAATATGAAATTCAATAATTACATTTTGCACAACTAAAAAAAATCTCGGACGAACTTTTTAAAAATATTTTAGAAATATGCTTACCAACTAAAAAATTCACATTCCTAAAATGTGTAAAATTAACGTTGTGAAATATATTTTCTGAGTTACATTTTTTCATTGTGATTATAGCAGGCAAACTCAATGCATCTTTATAGTCACAGGCACTTAAATTTGGCAGTACATGCTAACCCTTTTTGCGAACACCTGGAGTCTTAACTGGTCTGTAGTGGCCTATTCATAACTTGCACAGTTATTTTGCCCTTTAATTCTGTTCCAGGGTATAGTCAAGGCAGACCATTCTTCACTGACTTTATATTTGCATGTTCTACCATTTCAAAATTGAGATCCTCATGTGAATGAGCTTCTAAAATGCAGACAATTCCCACATATAGATACATGCATATGCATACATATTTATACATAAATACGAAAACTATAAATTTTGAACTAAACAAACCTTCCCCAAATATATAATGACTCAAATTTCGATGTTTTATCTTCAAGCATAATACAATCAATATTTCGATCATCCAAAAAAGGTTGTGCATCTAACATCTGAGTGTCATCCACTCCCAATGCCTTAATGGTTTACTTATTAGTTTTCATGAAGTTTATCGAAGGATATATTCATTTGAGGAGACATAAAATTACAATAAATATCCTGTTTTAAGTAACACTATCCTACCCGAGTAAGCCCTCTGGACGAGCGGACCACACATCCTAGATGAAGGGCTAGACTGAATGAGATGCTTGACACGTAATTACATGGTTTCATTTCATGAACCACACTTAAAGCAGTCATTTAGGAGACATGAGAGGTATCCTATGTGTGACATGCTTGGTGCGCCCTGGTGAACTCCCAACTTGCTTTAAGAATTCATTATCGTGTGACACATTATCAGGGACATCTTTACAATCACTGTAGGTGTGATGGCAAGTCTTACAATCTCTTTAAAAGTACAAACATTAAATATATTCACAACCTTTGGAACATATTATAACATCATAAATTAGGGAAAAAAGACAAGATATTTTTTGTAAGAACAACATTCGAAATGATAGTTTGTTGAAGTTTTACCGCTACTCATTATGTTTAACCTTTATGTGTGTGTCAACATAACTCACGTATGTATACTTGATCTTGTGTTAGTGTTTCACTAACTGCTTCCTTAGTTGCGAGGCTGTTATCAACAGGAACATACTTCCCCATACTTCAATGCTTTATAACTCTGAGTATCACTATATAATCGTGATTCATAAAGATATGCTCATGACAAAGACTGACTCGGAGTTGAGACTGCATTTAAAAGAGATGGTGAAGGAGATTGTCTTTATTGCTAAATTATCTAGAAATTCGCTTTTAGTATCAGTCTATTTCTTCGGTGATTTTATGTTTTGCAGAATTTCTGTCTCGTCCTAAGACCCCATGCTAAATACGTCCTAAGACCCACTGCTACATAGGTCCTACGATTCCTTGCTAAACACATCATAGGTGAGCCCCAAACCTCAGTCATGACTTCCCGACGGAGTTGGGAAAACTCCGAGCTATTTAGTGTTACATATAGCAATCCATAAAATACAAACTGTTCATAAACATTCATTAACAAGTCATCTCTCACGTTTTTCTTTTACACGGAGCCCTGCATTTTCTCATAATTTATGCTTGGGGTGTCAAAGATGAAAATGACACTCTTGATAAATATAATCGAAACTTGGATCTTGTTCACACATTTAAAAAAGACAGCTTTATAGATGTTCATGGTAGTGTTGTACACAATAAACTGTTTACATACTTTCAGGTTACTGGGTACAAAATCATATTGTAGCTGCACATCCGTATGAAATACGTTAGTAAAAGTCAGCTAAGGAGCAAAACAGAATATACCTCTGATATGTTTTTATCATTGTTTCATTTTCAATCTTTGACGTCATACCCCAAAAATGAACTGTACTGGCGTTTCGTCAGCAGTCGAAGTATGCTTCCACGTGGATTTTTGACATATTTTTTCTTTTAAGCTTTGAAGAATAAAAAGGCGTAATAGGCAAATGCTGATTTGTATCTTAGACAAAATTGGCTCAACACACTTATTTTCTGCACAAATTTACATTTCAAACATGGTTGGGCCATGTGGTTTAATGCAATTCTTACGCCAATTTCCATTGAATCCATTATTTTCACACAAAATTATCCACAAATTCCTTTTTACAAAGTCATGCCAGAATGAGTGGTGGTAATATAGACCAAATCAAACTGAACAACAATTCTTTCAATTTCAAATCACACAAAAATCAGATTCCCTGATCGTTCTTTTGTCCCTGGACCTATATTGAATTTTTTGGGGACAACAAAATCCGTTTGATTCACATCTGCAACCATATTCTGTATACAACGAGTTATTTCAATTTTAACTAAAATGTGTACCGCTGATGACACGAACATTGTTTCGTTAATCAATTACATTCGGTGTGTTCCCGAAATTGCCATTTCAAAGACCCAATGTACACGTGGCATGGGCAGTTATTCTCTCTTAGTTTCCAAGTAGGTGAAACAAGAAAATCTATACATAGCCACAACACACTACCTGAAGTTATTAATATGGCAGCGCCTCCTGGTGGATTTATAGCTCTGGTTCTGCTGCACCGTGTGATACCAAATGTCTGGTAATTATAAAGCTCCGAGAACCATCGTGACAGAACCCTCGATTTCATTTGTTAGGAGCTGGTTACTATTAAGCTGATGCAGCACAGGCATCATGCAACGGGTGGTGCTTTTTAATTTGATTATGTGAGTTTCCATGGCAACGCCTTCCTGTTCTAAGGCAAAACACTTGAGTGATTGATTTATCATTTTTGGCCCCCAAAATGATCAACCATGGGCTATAACTTCATGATCAATGGTTGAGTAAGTGTCCCACAGTGCTTTAGTTTTTTTAGTTGCAATAAACATTAACAAAGCAAGTATTATCAGCTGATGTACCATAACTAATAACCTTCCATTTCATCTAAAAACATAGTTATAATTCTCCTAAATCAGAATCGTTAAGATGAATTTAGTATAAAAAATATCCACACAACCAAACTAGGTCATATAACTAGGCAATAACGTCCAACTGCTTTGTGTATTTTTTAAAAAGATGAAACGCTTTAAAATTGTATTCACACATTTTTAACAATATATTAAAAATAATTATTTACAATACTTATACCAGGATATGAAAGCAAAAGCTTCTGGTTTGGTAATAATGGGCTTTGTATCATGTAACTTGTAGATCATCTCGCCTTGGGCAGGTATTGAGGAAGCCAGATGTTGAGGGATAGGAAAACAGAGACATATAATTGTATTTATGGTAAATAGATAGTAGCACACTTCCTTGTGAATTCTGTAACTGATATGACTGCATGTGAACACAGTGTCAAATTTTAGAGTCATCGTTCGGTTAGCGTGCGTACATTTTCATATTTTTCATATTTGTGTTAAGAAAACATTTATAACAGCAGTTGCACGCGTGTATGCGCCATTATGCCTCTTCGTTTCGTTCAGGGTATTTTACCAATTAGTTGCTCCGCTCAGGTAAGGTGTCTCCTGTATTTATCTCGGCATCAGTTTAGTAAAGTGAGTTTCTGTCACCCAGGGAGGGATGTAGAGGTAGGGGATAGAAGTAGAGAGGTAGAAATGTAGAAAGGAAGGGAGGTGGTGTGTGTGTGTGTGTGTGTGTGTGTGTGTGTGTGTGTGTGTGTGTGTGTGTGTGTGTGTGTGTGTGTGTGTGTGTGTGTGTGTGTGTGTGTGTGTGTGTGTGTGTGTGTGTGTGTGTGTGTGTGTTAAAGAACTACAGAGGTAAAAAGGCAGAATTGTAAATAGGAAAATAGACAGAGAGGCAGAGAGGCAGATGGGTAGAGAGGAAGAGAGAAAGAGAGATTGAGAGATTATTTCAAATCACTGCAACCATATGCACTCCGTTGAGACAAAAAATACCCACAAGACACTCACAACCACGCTCGTACACAGACACTCACACCCACAGTCACATACAGTCACATACAAACACACCGAGTAACGATGTCTCATTGCCTCAAGGGCATGTGCAGGGACATGGAATTTTGACAGAATGAGAGAGAGGGGTTGGAAGTAAATAGACATTTATGTATCAGTTTGTACCAGGACGCCACAAGCAATGCCGCATGACTCGAACACGCCTCTGCAATACAACATCCAGAAAAGAGAAGCCTGTTTCCATTGAAGTGTAGATGCATGTGTGAATACATGAAAGGAAAAAGCTAAAGAGGAAAGATGACGTTGACTTGCTTCTTTCAAGTTAAAACGTGTGATATTTTGAAATGATGAAATCTGAGAGCATTTGTATACTTTAGAAATACTTTGAGTACTCCATGGCATTTGTACCTTAGCTCAAGAGTGTGATGTTTGATAAACATTTTTTTCATAAAATAATCAGCTTTGTAGATCACAAGAGGGTTAAGAAATACTAGACATTTGCACAATACTGGTTGGTTAATTTACTGGAGCTTGTAAAGGCAGTCTTGGAACTTTATATAAACATTTCCACATTGTTGAAAATGACCGTAAACAGAAACTGCATGGATGACCTATAAAAATCCAAGTAGTTGATTCAGTGATAAATCCCTTCAAAGACAAAAATAAGCCCTCAAGTATAAAAATGTGCAAAAATTCATTCACTGATCGATGAAATTATTCATCAACGTTAGTGTATGTGTGTTCATAAATCAAACTTGGAATCCATGCATCGCAGATACAATGAGGGCAGTTTGTGGACAATATAGTCTGTACACGAAGGTATTTTCTTATCTGGCTTGACATATGCATGTCTGACATGGCTTCTGGATGATATAAAAATACTTAAAAATCCTTCTACAGATGACAGACCATCTGAGTGAGTGAGTGAGTATGGTTTCACGCCGCTTTTTAGCAATATTCCAGCAATATCACGGCGAGGGACACCAGAAATGGGCTTCACATATTGTACCCATGTGGGGAATCGAACCCGGGTCTTCGGCGTGACGAGCGAACGCTTTAACTTCTAGGCTACCCCACCGCCCCACAGACCATCTGAGGTGTATGTCATGTATATAGTGCCTTCAAGGTAAACTCTCACCAGCATTAAATGTGATCGATTGGTGAACACCTCACAGTGTTGTTTTTCATGAGCTACTTTGAACATTAATTATCAAATCACCATTATTGCGCTTTTAACTTGCTAATCAATTTCGAAAATTTAAATTTGAATATCAAAAGTGATGAGTTTTATATTTCTGTTCGCTTCTTCCATCAAGTCCCAGTTAATGTAACCATCCTGATCCTCTACCCTTAAACAGTTCTTACAGTTATGAAGAGAAAACTCTAATACCTTTACAGGTTTGATAAGTTAGCTGAATTGCTACATATGCTACACACAAATACTTTCAAGAAAAGACACGATGGTCACGAGAAATGTCAATTCTTTAAACTTATGAAATTCATTTTGGCATTGTTATGTAATTATCAGATGTGTTCGAATGGCTGACAGTTGGTCCTTTTGTTTCCGTCACACTTACAGGTTGAGGACTTCTGGTGAATTAACACAAATATAGACCAAATGAGTGAAAAGGGCATATGGTCCCAGCTTCAAATGGAGATCTATGTTTATGAAGATGATTTTGTAGCATATGTATGCATGTATTATGTACACAGAACATGAATTGCTCATTTGGTCAAAGACGTGCACATGTTTATATCAAAGGGAAGCCCCACGAAAACCCCTACAATCAGCGGCCTTTGCTTTTTTTTTTACGAAATCACTGAAACGGCTACTAATGTATTTTTGTTCTGTTAATATAAAAGCATTTCAGTTTCTTCATTTGAGAATATTCAAAATATACATTAGCGGAAGTAATCAATCAGTTTCAGTTTCGAAAATCGTTTCTATTACAGATTTAACAAAATGTATGATTCCTCTGAGAGACCACATACAGTACATTATATATTATACTGAAATGGCCCATTCGCTTTAAAAATTGACAGAGACTGTACAATATATCTGAGACCAAATAGGACCCGTATCCTGATGATGCCTGACATGCTGGTTGCTACATGTAACCTAGCAGCCTGCTCGTTGTAACCGGTTTCTTAACTGTTATTCAAATCCAATCCGATACCTGAAGGGTATCTAGAAACACATATGCAACTTTCAAAAAAACGACAGCTTACCGTGTTAGGAAATACAGTCAGTCAAAATGTCCGATTTTCATTGACATGTAATCATCCCCGGCTTACAGAATTAATGACCATCCCTGGAGCAATTCACTGTCCCGTTCCAGAATCTGCAAGCTCAACTCCCAAACTAGCCCCACCTGGTGTACCCGAACTGTGGCACTGCCCACGTGAAGGAGCAAGATTGTGCTTGATTGGGTCAGATTGCTTTGAGTTTGTACTCACCTAGCCCTGTTTAGAGTTGTTCAATACAACAATATGAACCCGGCAACAATCGGCCGCCATTGAAGTTGAAAGCAGACGATCGAGCACGAGGCAAAACAAAATGGCGGCAACTGTCGTCTGCTTGAAATCCCGCTGCTTTCCTTCATGCAAAAACGTGTGTTTATGTCCTCAGGCGCCGTACCTTGCGTCGACAACATTTTCCTTTTCCTTTTCAATTCCATAGGCTGATAACGTCTCACAGCTCCTCCGTCACGCCCCACTTGGTACGCTGACGAAATCTGCCATTCAAAAGTTTGTTGAGAGTCAGTAAAAGATATAGGCATCGTGCTCACTAGGACTTCATGGGTTAGCGCAGTCACTGTTACTTCAAGACCAAACGCAAACATAAACCATCATTTAACTGCCCCTTAAGGACTAAATGAACATTTATGCTCTTGTTAGTGCAATGTTCTTTTCCATTTCTGACATGCTCATATCGTCCTGTTTCCAAAAAGCAGTCAATGTTGAATAAGATAGTAGATAAGATGAACGTTCATTTTATACATAAATCACTATTCCTATTTACGTCAGTTTTTCTCAGAAATATAAAATGAAATTTCTGGTGTGATAGATGATTGTCCTCGGGAAGTTTAACACTTATCTCAAGTCTGATGTGAAGTGAAGTACGTCACTAAAAATGTTCTTTCCTTTGAAACATAATTCCCATAAGAAACAGCTCAGGAGAAACATTACGTGGGTAGAACATTACTCATATTTGCAGGATTCTCCTCAGACTTGTGGGAGCACGTGCGAGAGACCAAGTCGACTTCTTTCCCTATCAATCACCAGCAACACAGAGTGCTATTGTGGTAACTCTTAGGACCTAGTCCTCTCTTTAGACCTATTCTATTTATACCATACATTCTCATGAACATAACATATGTCTACAATAGATCCCTCTCTCTCAGGTTTACGGGTATTTTGTACAATGAATACATTATACATGTTAGATATAAAGAATTATTCATGTGCACAATTTGGGAGAGGTCAAGTGTACAGATACGACATCTTACGTACGCTCAAAACTGTACTGCTCGTAACTTGTTTAAACTATGATATATTTCTGAGAGATATAGCTCGTTTATATAAGTTTCCCTAAGAATAACAATCCTATTTGATATATACACCCAAGACTTAATTTTAGGAATTAGGAAATTAGCCACCCAAATGGTTGGTATAAATTCAGAGATAAATATACACACAGTTAAAGCTAGAGCAATTAATTATCAGGGAATGAATGAATGAATGAATGAATGAATGAATGAATGAATGAATTAATGAATGAATGAATGAATGAATGAATGAATGAATGAATGAATGAATACTATCTCAAAATCATTCCACAGCAAGCAAGAAACCTTCCTTCAGTATCACACTCATTCCTCTATATAAACTGATCACCACCTTCAGGGCATGGGGCCCTGTGGGTCACACACTCATCGTACGAATGATCCTATTAAGGGCTTCTCTCCTCATTGTCGTCCTATCTGCCAATTGAAATACAAAGCTATGTGATAGGGTACCGGTAGCCGTATTATAGGGCTGAAAATGGCCTACTCCTGCCTCGTCAACAACGCGCTTGTTACCCTCGGGTCATAAGCCTCTCTCTTTCAATAGGGGAGCAAAGGGACCGGGTGTCATCCAATACCCCAGGGAGTAGCAGAGAGGTTCTGATTGTACCCCTCGGGGTTTTCATCCTGGCTTTAAGGGTGCTAGTGGGAGGTAGATAAGTGATTGTTATAACGCCTCAGCTTTGTGATGGTCAATCATCCAAACAACTTCAACCCATAGCTCAAATTGTTTAAATAGAGATGTATCCTACTTAAGAATTGTCTTAACGATGATGTGTTAATTTGTTACAATAAGGCCACGTTTATGAGGTATATTACATCAGATGTCATGTACATGTAATCCTTCATCGCGATGTAAGGTTTGGTGGATCACTTACCACCTGTCATATGAAAATGTGATTTTACAGCCCTCCCACGTAGGACTTACTCTGTGACATTACATATACAAGTTATATCTTCTGGTAAACATTACACGATAAGACCATTTATAACAAAAGCTATTCAGTTTCATCTGTAATTAAAGACTCACATATATACCGTTCTGTCTCGATATAAGGAGAAATTTATATCGTCCTGTCTTGGCATGCAAGGATTTTTTTTGCATTACGTTTGCATGGTTGAATGCTTAGAAAACGAATTTCATTGTAGTGCATATCTATGAGGTTAGGAGAATATGAAGAATGGTTACAAATGCCATAAAAGGTACATATAACTGCAGAAAATGTCTGCACTGCTGAGTTAAAAAAGAAGTTGAATTGAATAAAGAGCCGTTGTCAAACGTTTGCTATAATCTGTCAAGCATTATATCCACATTCACCTGTTCGAGGTACCTGTTGTGATTTAACATCGCTGCATATTCACGCGTTGCAACATGTAACATGTAACAGATGCTTGCCTTGGTAGCTTGTACTGGGGACGGTTTCCCTGAAGACTCATTACCACCAATAGAACCATTCAGGATTTGGAAATGATTCCATTAAAATGCAGTGGGTAACCGATCTGAATTGTGAAATGTGTATACTGAATTTGATGGTATTGACGTTTCACGAAAATGCTTTGAATTTAAAAATATAACTGCATATATGGGCATTATTCTTATAAACTGACATAGATAAAAAGAAACATTTCATCAGAAGGTCATTAATTCACATTTCAAATCAACGATATTGAATAGATTTACCCCTGAGAAGGTTAGCGTTGAAAATACGTGTTGGGATACATTTGCCGTCCCTCGGGCATATTCAGCGTACTCACTAATTACAGAGCCAGAGACTGAGAACAAGAATTAGAGACAAGTATATTGCTACATGCGTTGTAGTGTTGTCGTCAATGACACTTAACATCAGCAAACCAACCTTAATCAACAAGCTTCCATTATACCGGTCATTGTCGCTGTATCGGAGTCGCTCAGTTAACTCAAGCTTCTGCATCTCGCTTGGTATGCTAATTTAACACGATCAATAGGCCTCGTACAATATTGGCCTGATAGAGAAATGGGCGGAGCTTGTTTCTTTTTCAAATTTACACGCATCAGTGGTGCAGCCGAACAGGTTGCATATTCGTTGAGCTACAAGGAAACCCCGTGTTCTTGCAATATTGTACTTTTGTATTGCTGTAGGGTAAATGTGGTATTTTCAATAAATTCTGAAGACTTGAAAATACATTACACTATTCATGACATCTTCGTTCCATTTGAATATATTTCGTTATCAGCTTGATCTTCTAAAAGCATTTCTACGGTTGTGTCAGTTTAACCGGAGGCAGTGCTCAAAATGCTTTCATTTGTGACATGTAATGACAATTGATGGCACATCAAGAAATTATAATAATTTCTTTTAGTAAATAGGTAAGGCTTTATATACTGCATAAGCTATTTTGTAATACGAGAAAATATATTATTCCGATTCCATATTTCAAATCGCTAAATGTTTTCGTGATTTAGATGTGGCATGTTTAAGGATTAAAAGAACATGAAATCTAAGTCATATTTGTGAAAACATATTTGGGGTTATGAAAATATGATGATGAAATATGAAAATGAATGTGAGCATATTCCCGAAACAGTCCGGTGATTCGCCTTTTCGACAGAAAATTATTAATATATTTGGTAAATAAATATATTTTATTCATCTGACAGCAAGTTTCCAGCATAAAAACTTATGTATTTGAACACCCCACCCCTACTCCCTACTATTTTGATTTCCATTGCATTTTGATAATAAGTGTGCAATGTTAATACTTCATAATTGACTTTTAAAGCAGAAATGTTGTCTGGGAAAGGATACAGAAGTCGGTGAAGGAATTTAAAAAAATAACTTGAACTAAATATTTTACACCATAATGTCACTTTCAATAGCTTTGTTTGACATTGTTCATCACTGATCTACCTTAAAATTACCCCTGTTCAGTAAACGAAAATTCATGAAAAATGAACTGCATCATGCTTGTTTTAACTAACATTACAAGTTCACAAATTCATAACAGTTTGGTTCGTTTGTATGCTATTCTATTTATGTAAAGACGTAGCAATACTGTGTACTATTTTATGTTTTCTCGAAGACATTATGCCAAATATATAATTCTCTTTTTATGCTATTTTCAAAACGTGTAAATTGTATACACGCTGTTGAATTTACACTGTCTATTCAGGAAGTTTGTGCAGGATTTTGATAATCAATACAAGTTCAATCTATGTAATTAAACAGGCTCTCAGGCTTGATTAGCTCTAAATTTGATGGAATTGTCACCACAATGAACAGCTGTCGATGGCGGAATGCCATTACTCCCCCATGAGATAACAAGAAACAATTCGGTAATAGGCACTTGCAGAGAATAAATGTAATTTCAGAACAATGTTCTATATCAAATTAACCCAAATGTATTAGAATCGTACTGAACCTTGCACGGAACACATCGAAGCATCTGTGTTGATGCAATGTATTATTTGATTACAGAGCAATGTCTGCAATGATAACGTACTTCTGCCAAAATTATCTGTATTGTTACACTGATATATGTTTTGTGGAGAATACACGCGGAATATGATAACTTGAAAAATATACATATTCGTTTTTTCTCAATTTTGAACATGTCCTCACACAATGCAGTTCAATACATACATGCTGTATTTTATACTGAACTTATTTGCAAGAAATCAAACTAAAAGCTTTACCTAATATTGGTGTGTGTTCCTTCATGTATAGAAAGGCATTGTTCTTCAGATCTGGTTAAAATTGAAATAATATTATTGAATAGTATCATATTATAATAAATGCATCAAATCTGATTAAAAATGAAACAATGATATTAATGCAAACGAATCTTAAAAATTCGTATACAATTTCCTCTTCTGCCAAATTGAATATAATTTCAATACAGTTAAATATCTGTATATATATAAAATATCATATGCAGAAATCTATAATAAATCTCTGGAAAACATAGGTTAGAAATGGCGATGATAACTTATCGAACACGAACGTTTGCTCAAATCAACATTAACATATTGTTTTAGTAAGTGCTAGACATGTTTGAGAACCGAAGGCATAGCTTGCAAATAGTATTTACATTTTTTAAGATTACCTAGGATTTTACAGGATCTCGAATGATCAGATGCTACTGTGTGAATCCAACATGTTGAAAATGTCGTTCGATCGAAGCAGGTGTCGGCCTGTTCGGTGTGAACACCTGGTGATAAATCATAGCTGCCTGAAAATCCTTGACTGAAAACTATACGGACAGAGAAAACAGCA